GCACAACTTAGTGAAAAGAGGTAATTTGTAGATAGAACAGATGTTAGTTTGGAAATTAAGAGCATGGGTTGCATATATGAAGTTTGAGATAGTTATATTCGATATCTAAGATGGCAAGTAGAAAGTTAGGCCTGGTTATATAATTTTGGGAGTTAGCAGCATAAATACAGTCAATAAAGGCAGAATATTAGAGAACATCATATAATGAATGAGTATAGATAGAAAATAATAGAGACCTGAGTCTGGGGTTCTGCCATTGTCTAAAGATCAGGTAGATGTGGAATGACCAGAAATGGACATTGAGCAAGAGTAACCCATGAGGCAGAAAGAGAATTAGAAGAAAAATAATGACCCTTCAAAGCTGTAAATAAAATGACATAAGAAGCTAGGGGACTGATTATTTTGTCAAATGTTTCTGATAGATTAGATAAGAGGTGGAATGAAAATTGGAGTTTGTGATGTGGGGTCAATATAATTTCTTCTGCCTGATGACAAGAGCTTAGAGCACGACAGAGCATCTGGTTACCTTAAAAATCATTTAACTCTTTACAGATAAGGATCAGGAGAATGACTTCTCATATACACACTCTCTTGGTTTCAGAGTATATGTGTGATTTCAAAATAACGATGTTTTTAAAGAGACATATCAGTATTGATAAGTCCATACTATTACCTTGAAAGTCTGTACTCAGATTTTACTGTACTCTGGTAAGTCATTTCTGTGACACCTAATTCAGAATTGGTTTAAGAACTGTATTACTAGTTGCACATGGAAAAGACCCATATTTCATATAATTGGTAGTGCTAGTTGTGCTTTGGTTTCTGGTAGCTTCTCTTATAGAATAACATTTTGCCTTTGGGAAAAAAATCAAACCTACCGTCAAGAAGAATATGACTTGCCATTTTTTATATCATTTGGAATAAAAGATGCAAGCTCAGAATAAAGGTATATACAACAGATTTTATCAACAAATTATCAATGGAAAAAGTTGTACTCCCTCAAGAAAAGAAGGCTATCCTTATTTATGTAAAAAAATCTGGTGTTGATGTAAATACTGGAGGTAAAAAATAAAATAGTTTTGCTAGCCTACATTTCCATAAATACTCTGATTATTCCTTTAGTTGTTCTCTTTAGTATCTTTTGGGAGATTAATTTCTATTCTATGTTTGTGTCAGAGGGGCTGAATTATCAATTACAACCTACATATAATCACAATTAGGAGTATAAAACTTCTAGATGCTGAAAGATTTAAAAGATTAAACCAACTATATCTGTGAACTATTTATTCTTTGTTCCAAGAGGAATTTGGAATCTATGCTCTCATTAGATCAGAGACGTGGTGATAATTTAATTGCAAAGTATCATTATTCAAATGATAAGGAAATTTATTAGTTTGTCAGTCTTATACTACTGTAAAAAATACCTTAGATAATCAACTTAAAAAGAAGAAAGGTTTAGTTTTGTTCACAGATTCAGAGGTTCTAGTTCACAGTCAGTTGACTTTATTGCTTTTGACATGTGGTAAGGCATTGTACCATAGCACGGAGCTCATGGTAGAGCAACTTGCTCACTTTATGGTGTTTAGGAAGCAAAGAAAGAGGAAGATTAGGGGCCGGGATCCCAATATTTCCTTCAAGAGCACACCACTTCCTTTCACTAGGTCTCACCTTCTAAAGGTTCCACTGCTTTTCAATAGCACCATAGGTTGAAGATAAATTCTTTCACTTATGAGTTTTTGAGGGACATTCAAGATCTGAGTGATACTAATTAGTTATTTTTAATGAATGAAAGTATTTAAAGTTAGAGAAAAATTACTCATGATTGTCAGATGTTAGAGTAAATGACAAAAAAATTTTGTAAAGATTGATTAAATTAAAAGCAAAGCGACCTATATACATGGTCAAAAAAGTATAAAATAAAAGATTTCTTTCTTCTTCTTTACATGTATAAAGCTTGCTTATATATACATACAAGGAACAAGAACATAATAACTGGAATAATTACATATATATGTTATACAAACACATACATACATACATAATTTGTCTCTGCATCTTACTTTTTTAAGCCTAACCTTTTTGAGATATTTTATTGTATAATAATATATATGACTATAAAACATTACTTTTATGTGTACCATTTGTGGTTGTACTAACATTTATTAAATGATGGACAATTTTAGAGTGTTTCCAGTTCTTTACTATCAAAAAAAAGTTATATAATGAAAATATTTAGAGTTATATGTTAGAGTCCACTGGAAAGTGTAAGGGAAAGTCATATTGGTAGAGTGAGGTGTTGGCTAGCATCAAATTGAAATGGATAACATCATGTTAAGTGAAGTAAGCCAGACTCAGAAATCAAGGGTAGAATATTCTCTCCTATTTGTGAAAGCTAGACCAAAATAAGGGAAAGAAGTTTGGGGAGGGATAGGATATCATAAAGGTACAGGGAAAATCAGTGGAGTAATCAATGGAGTAGAAGTAGGAGATTAAGATTAAGAGGCAGGAAAGTGGGATGGAGAAGGAGAGAAAATGTGTATTCAATATACCAAAATTCTGTTTTGTGCTTATATAAATATACCATAGGGAATTTCACCTATATGTATATGTAGAAAGTACTGATCAAAATAAATGAGTGAAAGAAAGATCAGTAGAATAGAGGAAGGGGAGAATAGGAGGAGGAAATATAGGAGGGAAAGGGGGGCATTGGAACTGGAATGGAGTAAATCAAATGCCATGCATGTATGTTTTTTTTTTTTGTCAAAATTAACCCAACTTCTATGTATAACCATGATTTGGTAATAAAAAAAATAAGAAAACTGGATGCCTCTCTTTATAGGCACAGCAATGTAATATGAAAATTCTTGTTTTTTCTCTTCGTTACTTGTGTGCCTATTATATAACTTTTTCTGTTTTCAAACATGGTAAGCAAAAGCCATATACATATGGCTTTGTCCCTTTGTCCAATTTATCTATTTTTGTTTTTGGTGTTCATGCTTTTGGAATCATGTCTAAACATCTATTGCCAAGTCCAAAGTGTGCTACTCAGCCTTCCATTACTGTCACAAAATACCTGAGATAATCAACTTAGACAGAGGAAAGATTTATTTTGGCTCACAATTTTGGAAGTTTCAGTTTTGTGGTTAGACAGACACATTGATTTTGAGCCTGTAATGAGGCAATATATCATGAGGGGGAGCTCTCAGCAAAGCCAAGCCATTTATTTCATAGTTGGGATGACAGTGAAAAAGGAAGAGGAAGGGACTGGGGTCCCACAATTCTTATTGAGGACATGCCCTTGATGATGTAGAATGTTCTACTAGGCTCTACCTCTTAAAGGTTCCATCACATCTCAATAGCAAACCAGTCTGTGTACTAAACCTTTAATATGTGAACCTTTGGGGAACATTCCAAATCCAAACTATTGGAGAAAATTATAAAGATTTCTGTGTTTACTTTTTAAAGTTTTATAATTTTAGTTCTTATTTTCTATCTTTGAACCAGTTTGAGTTAATTTTTGTATATGTTGCAAAGCAGGGGTCTGATTTCATTCTTATGCATACAGATAGCCAGTTGTCCCAGTTTTATTTATTAAAGAGAATTTTATTTATTTATCCTATTAAATGGTTTTGACACCCTTGACAAAAATCGATTGGTCAAAAATTTGACTTCTTTCTGGTTTCTATTCTGTTTGCTTGGTTCATATATCCATTGCTTTTAGATTTGCATTTCTTTTTTGGGGAATGAGATTGATCATATTTCCTTACTATTTCTTTCTGTCATGATCTTCTTGTTTATAGCTTTCTCTATTCTTAAGTGTTATTAGATTTTTTTTCTTGATTTGTACATACTATGCAAATTATAAAACTTAGTCTTTTATCATAGCCAGTGGAAATATTTCTTTATGTTTATTTGTTTTTCACCTTTAATGTAGTGGAATTAATTTTTTAGATCATTGTGTATATTTTTTTATTCTGACTTCAGGGTTATATGTACTGCCTTTCCTGTGAAAAGAATATAAATAAATTGTTTCTAGAACTTTTATGATTTTGTTTCTTCCTTTTAAAGTTTCACTTTTTAAATGAAAGTGACACACCCTTTTTATATTTTTAAATCAAATTTTTGCCTATAAAAATTAATTATTTTGTCTTTTCTTACCATCCCTTTAGTTTCTTTTTCCTGTGAGGTAGTTGTGTTTAATTCTCTAATGGGTCCTTTTTCACACCTGGATTCATGCTAATGCAGACAACATATTCATAAGACTTTTACTTTTATGTTAATATGTGTGTGAGTATGTAGAGGAATGAGAGGGCTTTTGAAACAGAAACCTGATACATATATTTAAAAATGTAGTGTAAAATAGTTTATAATATCTGATAATTTATTCTATTCTAAAAAGAAATGATTTTGGATAGTGAATGACTTTAAAATTTTACTTGCAGTCTTTTAATCTCTTTTTTATATAGAAATAAAATGAATAGTTGTAAATAATTTTTGATTACCTTATCTCCACCTCAACACAAGGCTTACATCATTGGCTTATTCTATCTTTAAGAGATTGTTATTAGCCTGGCATGGTGACACACACCTGTAATCCCAGTGGCTCTGGAGACTGAGGTAAAAGGATCTTGAATTCAAAGCAACTCAGGGAGACCTTGTCTCTAAATAAAATGTAAAAAAGGGCTGGGAATGTGGCTCAGTGGTTAAGTGCCCTGGATTTAATCCCTGGTTCAAAGATAAAAAGAAAAGAAAAAAGAGATTGTTATTTATGACACCTTGCTTTTTACATTTTATGTTACTTGAGACATACATTATAATGATGCTGCTTAAGAATGTTTTTTTTCTGTTTTTAAAATAATTAATGAAAAGTAAATGTGACAATTGACATTCGTGGAGAGCGTATTAACATGAAATTTAAATGTTCTTTGCTGAAAGAAAAATAAATTCACAAAAGTATTTGAAGTTACAGAGAACTTGTATTGAAAAAGTAAAGGTATTTTAATTGAGAATCTAAATGGTTCTGTTGGTTTCTTGTCATTCTGAGTTAGGGAGTATTGTTAAATTTCTTTGAATATAGCCAGTCCTACTTACAGACCAAGGAGCAGAGGTGCTGACACCAAGACTCCAGGTGGAAGTGACCTGAGGAAAGAGATTTGCAGTACATGCTGACAATACACATGAGGCTTGATGTAAGGTAAATGATTCTCCTAACTTTCTTCTCATCAAATCAGGATGCTTAGGGCTTAAAATTATCATTTGACTACCTCAGATTTCAGCCATGTAAATTAGTCATTGTGTTGCTCCCCATGAAGTTCTGATACTCTTACTTTGTGAAGATTGGTGTTACCATAGCATAACAAATGTGAATGGAAACTTCTTTTAATATTTTGTGGTGTGTGTGTGTGTGTGTGTGTGTGTGTGTGTATGCGGCCATCCATGTGCACATACACACTTTTATTCTTTCCTTCAACCATGCCACCTTCATCTCAGTGCTTCTTATTATATAACTTACTTTTTCCTTATCTCATTTTTATACTTACTCGCCCCTCTTTGTACTTGACTTTTAATCAAATTGTTTTTTCCAATAATACCTATAGCCTTTTTCTTGAAAAAAAATATTTTTAAATATTTATTTTTTAGGTGCAGATGGACACAACACAATGCCTTTATTTTTATGTGGTGCTGAGGATCAAACCCAGGTCTCGCCAATGCTAGGCGAGCACTCTACTGCTGAGCCACAATCCCAGCCCCCTTGAATATATATTTTTTTTAAGCTTAAAAGAAAATGGTGAAACCTTACTTATAATTGCATTGCCGCTTTTGTAAGGACAAATTCAGAATTCCAGGATCAAATATATAACTGACAAGGTACACAAAATAAGTCTAAGAGGTAGTTGGTGATTGTTCACGGAAGGCGGTGGTGATATGTAACAGATAATGTAATCTTATAAAAAAGAAAATAATACAACTCTTTGTTTATAATTTTGCCATTTGTAATAGCCTCAACGAGGCAAAACTGAATGATTTGAGTTTCACAAATTTTTCCTCTTCCATACTTTGTTGAAGATCTAATAACACCAAAATCGGAAAAAGAAGCATCTGGAGAGAAAAAAAAAAGAAGCAAGGAACCCAAAATATACCCAACAGATTGGATCATCAACCACCAAATGACCCATGAGTTTGCTGAGTATATTTCTAAACTAGATATATTTATTTTTCGCTGCATTTGTGGGGATTAGAAAGTTATTTTATATGTACATATATTTTAATAATTTTGGTAGATGTGTAAATTTCTCATAGTTTTATCATTTGCTTCCATAATATACAGAGTGATATGAAATTTAGTTTTTAAAAGAAAATATATTGGCAACTGAAAGGTTGGTACTAGGGTTCAAGGTACGGATGAAAGTATTACTGGTCATCATTACCTACCATCACTGGATTTTAGCAGAATATGTCTCTGTTTGAATTTGCTTCTGTGAAATACCATTTTCTTAAACTTAGGAAGTCTGCAAAGAGGCTGGAGCATAGCTCAGTTATAGAGCACTTTTGTAGCATGCATGAGTCCTGGGTTCCATACTCAGCAACACACCACACACACACACACACACACACACACACACACACACACAGAACTCTTCATCTACTTGCTACACAGCAGTACTACATTTTTGCTCTGCTTATTTACCAATAGTTGTTAGCATATTATAAGGCAAGTATATCAAGTACGAAATCACTAGTCATATACTTTCTAATTTTAATCTTGCTGCTAACCTTGTAGACTGGATAAGTCATTTATTCGCTTTGTAACTCAGACTTTTATTCAAAATAGTTTGATTCCACTCATTATTTTAAATAAGGTTTTATTGGAAAACAGATCTTAAAAGGGAAGGATTTACTCTTACCTCAAAATTGGCGAATCAAATCAGCTGCAGTATATATGCATTCAGACAGTCAGAAAACATTAATAATGCTTAAGTTTATTATGTTGTTTTCTTTTCCTACTACATCCTAGAGCTAAGACTTTGCAAATATATCACAGGAAGAATTTATGTTTTTCCTGGCTTAGCCAGTTGAATGATTGAATGAAAGACAGAAAGTGGTAAAACAGACTAGAATTTCTGTCTTGTTATGCAAATTGTAGGCTCACTTTTTCTGCTTGTCTTATCTATAAACCAGCCTCTTCTTAATTTTAAATGCCAACATTCTTAAGATAAATGGATGGACTGACATTACCAATAACATGCCTGGTGGACTTACTATTTTTTCAGAGCTGGTCATTTAAAGCAGATATGAAAGGCTTTCCTCCTGTGATAGTTGAGGGAGGACACCATCATTGTCACTGCTTGTCTACTAAAGTATGAAAGAAGTGAGAATAAGAGGAGAAAAGTTAAATTATGTTGGGAGGTGATTCATCAGAGAACTTGCAGCTACCAAGCAAGAACCAAAATGCAAAGCGTTGGCCAGCTTTTCTGCTCTGGCAAAGAACTTCTTATATAATCTGGATCTGGAGTTTCCTAGAATGAACTTGCATTTTCTGAAATTCCCTTCATAGAGAATATCACCATTTAATAATAAACAGTATAATGTATCTAAACACATGAAGCATTTAAAGATCTGGTTTATTATTATTTCTCTCTTTTGATCCCATTTTTCAGGCAAATTTTGTTGGATATATGAGCTGATCTCTGCAGCAGGATCAAGAGACTTTATTTATTTTGTTCTTAACATGTATTAATTGTACATTCCATATATGAATGCAGCATAAAGATACTTTAATTTCACTAGTCTGTTTGTCAGCTTTGATTTTACTGCTTTTTAGTTTCATGTCATCCTATTCTTCTTACAAGGAGTAAATGTATAATTGAGTTGATTAGAAAAAAGCCTAGATATTTTAAAGACCTACTCCCTGCAAAGATATTTCTTCCTATAATTCTGTGTTCTGAGGTGGTGATGATAATTAAGATGCCCTACTTTCTATCCAGGGAATGGTAGGTCATCTTGGGACAAAGAGTTAAGATGCTAAACTATCAAAGGAGCAAAGAGAACAATTACTGTTATACAACATTAAAGAAGCTTAGTATTATAAAATTAAAAGGTGTTTAATTTCCAGAATGATTTCTTATAAAACAGAATCTGTATATTAGGAGGATTTGTGAAAACAATGTGTTTTAGAAATTAAGAGAGGAGTCTGGCATCAGACTGCCCTGGGTTTGAATCCGTATTTCTTTACAATTTATTTGCTTATGTGATCTTGCCCTTGTCTGGTTGGCTACGCTTTAGCTCCTTTATCTGTAAACTGGTTTTCTGTGAGATTCAAGTATTCTTATACCTAGGGAGTGTCCAATATAAAACCTGTCATGTTATGAATTTGAATACATAGCTGTTAAGACCACTAGTATTTAAAGTATTCAGACATGTTTTGTTTTACCTTTTATTATGTGTTTCTGGGTAAATTTTTGCAAGGACTTTTAACTCATACAGTTTCAATTGGCAAATTTACTATAGTAATGCCACTGAAAATGTTTGAGTCCATATATAAATGTAATGGACTCAACTTATAACCAAAGTTATTTTGGAGTGCATATAGCTCTAGAGGCTCTCACAGTAAATCTTCTAATAATTTTTTTTGTTCTGATGAGTATTTTTCCATTTGAGGCACTTCCCTCGGGATACTGAATTCTTATTGAAAAACATGGAGAAATGAGTTTGGGAACATAGACTAGCAATTCTGAAATTATAAACATGCTGGCAGCATAATTAAACTTATATTGAACCTTAATGGCCAGGAAAAATGATAAAAAATTTTCTTGATGGAATTTGTACCTTATAATTTGTCTGGGTACCTTTATATTGATATTCTTGATTTGTATGAAGAGCAGGCAATTGTGCAGTATGCACATGCACGTGCGCACACACATACACACACAAAATACAGAGTATCAAACCTAGGACCTTATGCAAACTAGGCAGGTAATCTATATTGAGCTACACCCCTAACCCTCATTATCTTTTTAAAAAATGTTTTTATTAGTGCATTTCAGTTATACATAATAGTAGGATTCATTTTGACATAATAATATATGCATGGAATATAATTTGCTCAATTTCAGAGCCCAGTGCTTCCTCTTTCCCTCCTCTCCTCCATTCTCCTTGTTCTATTCTACTAGTCTTCCTTTTATTTATTTATTTTAAAATTGACACTGTATGTATTACATAAAGGTGGAATTCAATGTGGTATATTCATATGTATATGCATATAAATACATGCATAATTTTGTTAGTTTCATTCTGTAGATCCTTCCTTTTTCCATCCCTCTTTCTTTTACCTCAATTGTCTTCTTCAACTCCATCTTTCCTCTGTTTTTGTGAAATTATCCTCCCGCCCCTCAACTTTTCTTCCCATAGTTAGCTCTGGCTTCTATATATGAGAGAAGAATTCAACCCTTGACATATTTTACTTAGCATAATGTTCTCCAGTTTCATCCATTTACCAAAAAATGCAATGATTTCATTCTTCTTTATGACCAAGACTCCATTGTCCATATATACCATGTTTTCTTTATTCTTTCTTCTGTTGACAGACACCTGGACTGGTTTTATAACATGGCTATTCTGAATTGTACTGCTATAAACATTGAAATGCTGGTATCATTGTTATGCTAAATTTAGTTATTTTGGATAAATATAAAGAAGTTGGATAGCTGAGTCATATAGTAGTTCCATTCCTAGCCTTTTGAGGAAACTCCAGACTGCTTTCCAAAATGGTTTACTACTTTGTAGCCCAACTAACAATGTATAAGATAACATTTTCAGCCACATCCTTGCCAGAATATGTTATTTATATTCTTGATGATTGCTGTTCTGACTGAAGCAAGATGAAATCTCATTGTAGTTTTGATTTACATTTGCCAGATTATTATGTTGAACTTTTTTTTATTTTTTTATTTTTTTTTATTTTTCTTTTTTTTCTTAAGAGGGAAATATTTATTGCAGGTCAGGGACACTTGTAAGAAGGCAAAAAAATCTAACAATGAGAATAAACTACACACCCCTCACCCCAGCTTAGAAGATGAACAGGTAAAACAAATACACGGGTTATGTACAATCATTAAAAAGAGCAGAGTGGTGGAAAAGGAGGAAAAACTGCCAGCAGCCTTCCAGAAGGTTCGTATAGGATGTGGAGGAGCACCTTCCCGTGAACTTTTTTTTATATATTTGTTATTTATATTTCTTCTTTTGAGAATTGTCTGTTTAGTCTTTTGCCCATTTTTTGGTTGAATTATTGGTTTTGATGTGTGTGTGTGTGTGTGTGTGTGTGTGTGTGTGTGTCTGTGTGTGTGTGTGTGAGAGAGAGAGAGAGAGAGAGAGTTTTTTGAATTCTTTATATTTTCTGAATATTATTCAGAGGAGTAGCTAGAAAAATTTTCTCCCTTTCTGTAGGCTGTCTCATCACAATCTTAATTGTTTCCTTTGCTGTGCAAAAGCTTCTAAAGTTGATACTGTCCCACTTATTTCTTGGGCTTTAGGGGTCTTATGAAGGATGTTGGCACCTGCTCCAATATGTTGGAATGTTTAGCCTGTGTATTTTTTTTTCCTGGAATCTGCAAAATTTCTGTCTTGATTCCTAGGTCTTTGATCCATTTTGCTTGGCTCTTGTGTAAGGTGAGAGGAATCTATTTTTATTCTTGTATGTATCCAGTTTTCCAAGCATTATTTGTTGAAAAGTCTCTTTTCTCCAGCGTATGTTTTTGGCACCTTTGTGAAGTGTCAGATGCCTGTATCTATGTGGGTTTTTCTCTATGAATTCTATTCTGTTCTACTGGTCTTCATGTCTTTTTTGATGCCAATACCATGCTGTTTTTGCTATGATAGCCCTGAAGTATAATTTCAGAGCAAATATTGTAATGCCTCCAGTATTCCTTAGGGTTGCTTTGCCTTTTTGAGTCTCTTATTGTTCCAAATGAATTTTAAAACTGTTTTTATTCTGGTTCTGTGAAGAATGTCACTGGTATTTTGATGAGGATTTTACTGAATTATATAACACTTTTGGTTATATGGTCATTTTGACAATATTAATTCTGCCTATCCATCTTTTAAGGCCTTCTTGAATTTCTTCATTCAGTGTTCTATAATTTTTGTTGTAGAGGCCTTTCACCTCCTTGGTCAGATCTATTCCCATGTATTGTATTTTATTTTTTGAGATTATTGTGGTTGGGATAGTTTTCCTACTTTATTTCTTGGCATATTCATTACTGGAGTCTAGGAAAGCTATTGAATTATGAATGTTGATTTTGCATCCTGTTACTTTGCTGAATATGTTATCAGCTCTAGAAGGCTTCTGGTGGAGTTTTTTGGGTTTTTCGTATCAATCAGCGGAGAGAGATAATTTGACTTATTTTCCTATTTGCATTACATTCTTTTATTATTATTATTATTGCTCTGGGTAGAGTTGCAAGAACTATATCGAGTTGGAGTAGGGAGAGAGGACAGCCTTGTCTTGTTCCTGATTTCAGAGTAAATGCTTTCTCTATTCAGTAAGATTTTGGCTTTGTGTTTGTTTTATATAGCCTGTATAATGTTGAGATTAATTCCTTCTGTCGCTACTTTTTTAGAGTTTTTGACATGAATTGGTATTTTTTAAGGCCTTTCTGCATCTGTTGAGATCATTACGTTATTCTTGTCCTTAATTCTATTTATGTGGTGAATTGCATTTTTTGATTTGTGTATGTTGAACCAAACCTGCATCCCTGGGATAAAACCCACTTGATCCTGGTACACTGTCTTCTTGATGTGCTTTTTAATTTTTTTTAGTTGAACATAGACACAATATTTTGTTTTACTTATTTATTTATTGTATGTAGTGCTGAGGATCAAACCTAGTACCTCATGTGTGCAAGGCAAGCGCTCTACCACTGAGCCTCAACCCCAGCCCCTCTTAATGTGTTTTTGAATGTGGTTTGCTAAATTTTATTGAGGAGTTTTGTATTTATGTTCTTCAAGGATATTGATCGGTAATTTTCTTTCCTTTATATGTCTTTGTCTGATTTTGGCATCAGGATTATACTGGCTTCATAGAATGAATTTGGCAGTGTTTCCTCCTTTACTGTTTAATGGAATCATTTTATTAGACTTGGCATTGGTTCTTTAAAGGTCTGGTAGAAATTACCTGAGACTCCATCTGGTCATGGACTTTTCTGTTAGAAGCTTTTAATTTCTGCTTCAGTATCATTACTTGCTATTAGTCTGTGTTGGTTTTCTTCATCTTCATAATTTGACTTGGTTGTATGTGTCTAGAAATTTGTCAGTATCTTCTGGGTTTTCAAGTTTATTGGAGTATAAATTTTCAAAGTAGTTTATAATGATCTTTTGAATTTCAGAAGCATCTGTGATGATATCTTCTTTTCATCTATAATTTTGTAGATTTGTTTTTTTTCTCTCATTCTTTTGGTTAGTTTGGCTAAGGGTTTATCAGTCTTGTTTATCTTTTAAAAGAACCAACTCTTTGTTTCATTGATTCTTTGTATTATTTTTTTAAATTCTCAAGTCCATTAATATTGCTCTGACCTTAGTTATTTCCTGTCATTTGCTAATTTTTGAG